AATGGGGAGAAACGGGGAAAACAAAGGTACAGCTCGTGCGAGATGGAGTAACAAAAGCGGCGATCGTTATCAGATCCCTTCCCCCTCCCCCGCCCCACACGTTTCCCTTCGTCTTTATACCACTTTCTTCTCTCGTCGTTTACTCTCTCTCTCTCTCTCTCTCTCTCTCTCTCGGTCGATCCTCCACGTGTTCCCTGCGTCGGCTGTCTCTCGGTTAATTTTTGCGTGAAACGAACCTTGAAAGTCGACGAGCACCTCGTGCTTTCCCACGACGTCACAAACAGCGGCGTTTGCAATTTCAACGAGAGCAGTCAGCTGAAGTCCAAACAACAAGCGTTGGCTATCATTTCGGGAATGTAAACTCGGCTTCAGGTTTATCTTGTTCCCAAGTTATAATCGTGTTGATGTTTTCGATCATTCTTTCCGCAGCTTTCATTGTTGCAATTGCATGTAATAGTTACATGGGATTGTATCGAAAAGTTTGAATGAATACGCTCGGTTAATAATCGAAAAGTTATGAATTATTCGTTCGAGAACAATACGTTTTTAATTTTTTTTTTTTCTTTTTTCCTTCTCCCCTTCCCCCAAAATCGACGACGATAACGAGGATACGCGACGATTAAATTTTGAAAAAGTTTCGTTATTCGTTACGAAATCGAAAATTTCGCGACGAATGAATGGTCGAGAAATTGCACAAGTTTTTTTGACCGAGGTGTCTCGATTGAGATGGAAATTAGACGTGAATGAACGAAGTAGTAACCTGTCGTTATCGCGTTACAAAACGAGATTTTTACAAAACGAGTTCTTTTTTCCCGTGAAATTCGACGGTTTGAAGCTGAAAATACCGGATGGTTGCGCGTTCGGGCAAAACGCCTTTTCTTTCTCCGAGGGAATCATTTTCGAATTCGCGAGACGCTCGTAAAAATGTAAACCGTCGTTCGGTTGAAAGGGAACGTTTTAAGTTACGACTCGCACGAAACAATATAAATTTGAAAAGCGGGTCGTGCAAAATGGCGAAATGTTTGATCCTTTTTTTTCGATCGCGTGTGTAATCCCCGAAATGACAGAATACATGGAAAAGAAGGGGGAAGGAAAAAGGATATAAGGCTCTTTCGGAGACGAGGGTAGAAACGGGGACATCGATGTCACGGAGGAACGTATGACGCGAAGAATTTTTCAAAGGTTGGAGATATCGCTTGTGTGCCTGGCGCAGACTCGCTTTGGCGAAATTTGATTTAACTTCCAGCAGAAAAATCTGGTTGAGAAATCACAGGAAACCGTTCCGTTCCGCGGAACCTTTTACGCCCCGGTCTTAAAGGGGCTCGACTTTTCGAGCGGCCCAAATAATCGGCCACCGCCAAAGACCGTCAAGGACACTGAACCACTTCGCTTATACCACTTGCCGCTTCTTCTCTCCCCCCTCCCTACGTACGTATCTACGTTTCATAAAAGTTTGAAACGGAAAAAACCTATAAAAAGTTCCATCTATCTTCCTAACCAAGGGGGAGGAAAAGGGAGGGAGGGGGAGAGAGAGTAAAGAAAGGAGAAAAGAAAAATCCGTCGCGTGGAACAAAGGCTCTAAAAGTAGAATTAATTTCTAGCGGGATTCCAAAAGCGAAAATCCATGTCTGCGATTATAATGGAACCGGGTTATCGATCGTCTCCTCGTCCCAGTAGCGCCTAATTTCACGATGTCTTCTCGAAATTCGCGTCGAGCGATAAAAGATAGAGGAAGAAAGTTCGATTCATCGATGATGATGGCGATGGTGAAATACACGCGAAGCTTGGAAGCGCGCAAGTTTGCTTGGGGAAGAAATCATGGGGGATGAGGTAGTTTTCCGGCGGGAAACGAGCCGTCGAGGAATCCACACTCGGCATGGACTCGAGAAATATTCATTTTAATGGTTGATATAACGCGGATATTGGTTACCGTTGAAACGCTACGTGTCCGGAATTCCGCGCCGGTATCACGCGCCGTGCGGAATATACGATATAAAAGGCGAGTGCCGAGCGCAGGTATTTGAAATCGGGAACCGGAGTGAACCGGTGGAAAGGGAGGGGGGAGAGTACGTTCCTCACCTATCGTCCCCGCGTTTACCTGTCGAATATTACTGAATTTTCCACGGCCACGGCGATTAACACACGGGGGTTAACAAAAAGAGGGGTCCCTTTTCCGTCTTTCGATACGATCCTGCGCTCCTCTTCGCTCGCGTAACTTTTACGCGGTTCGATCGAACTCGATCCAATTCACCGGGAATGAGGGATAACTTTTAAATCAATTTAGATAGTCTTCGATATTAAGCAATACTTTTATATTTTAATAGACGTATCTTTCGACGCAAGTTAAAACTCCGTTGAACGCTATTAAAATTCAAGAAAACTTTGGATCGTTATAATTACGAAGATAGCGACTAATGGTTAATAAACGAGAGATCGTTGCAACTTTTAAAATGCTTTTCTCGTGGATTTCTCGATACGACTTTCTTGAAATATGTCGTCGTGTAAAGAAAAGAGTAATTCTTTTTTAATCGTTTTAATCGCTGTCTCTAAACGTTCCTCTTGCTCAATTTTCTCTCGCACCTCGTCTCACTGATCCAATTTCAGACAAGTGATATTCCCTGGAGAGATGTGATACGCATTTCCAAGGAAAAAAATGCAGATAATCGAGTTGCAAACCCATTCGAATTCAGTAGTATCATAAATACTACTGAATATTTTGAATTCTGTATTATTCTCGGCAACCGATTGAAAAATGATACGGTTTCCTCCACATTCTGAATGAGTTTCGAAAATATTTTGTTTCCGCTCACGTTTCTTACGTATGAAAATTCCAAATCCGACTTTGTATAAATTCGAATGGTCCGTTGTCGCGATTTAAAGCGTACAGAGATTTAAATTTATCTCGTTTCATGCTCAAGCAAATCACAAAAAAAAAAAAAAAAAAAAAAAAAAAAAAGAAGAAGAAGGTCATCGAAGCATCTCCCCTGGGAGAAAGAATCTACGGGAGAAAAATATTGAATTTATTTTTTTTTCGAAGCAGTTCGTTTCAACCACGGGAAACTTCTTATTCAAATGGAGTCGCGGTTCGTGCATTGAATGCAAATGATCGAGACATAACGCGATAGGGGTCTCGTTTTCCCTTTTTCTCCCACCTTCCTCTCGTTTTTCTCTGTCTTTCGGGGCAGATGCGCGCGCGCGTGCAAAACTTGGAGCCAAGTTATGCGGGGCGAAGTTTTAACGAGAACTCCCATGATTCCGGCGCCTATGGGACGACCGGAAAAGTTAGCTTTTGACGCGGTAGGTAACACGTGACGAATTCAAATCAGCCGTAAATACTTGGTGCAAACACTTCGCGACGAGTAAAGAAACTCGGGCCTGAAATAAAGCGTTGGGAAGCTGCGACGTCAACCCTCTCTCTCTCTCTCTCTCTCTCTTCCCTTCTCCTCTCCTCCACTCGATCCATTTCCCCTCCTCTCGCTCTTTTGTTTCGACCGTTATGCGAACTGTGTACAAACTCGGCCAACTTTCAAGGGGAACCGGTTCAATAAACACAAATTACCAGACACTCGAGGCGAGGAACGAACGAGAGAAAAGAACACCCATTGCGCGCCAGTTGTGGGAAAAGGATCGATTAATTTTCCTCCCACGCGAGAGACACGAGAGGAGACGGAAAAACGGGTGTTTCGGGGGGAGGGAAACGTTTCGAGATAATTCTTCTAACTGCTAGGAATTTTTAGTTTCCATCGGGATTCGAAGCGAGACACTCGTCGAGCAACTCGTAGCGAATTCCCAACAGCCGCGGGACTCCTTCTGCGCGCACAAGTCCTACTGCTCGCGCTAAAAGCGATCCAGAAGAAAAGTTTCCTTCATTTTTAACAAGGGGGGAAACAGAGGAAGCGCATTCCAAAGTTGGAAACGCTGACTTGGTCCTCCGCCGAACAAGCGTCGCCGTTCCTTTCTTCGAGAGGGAGGGACGATTTATCGACGGGCGGGCTTCTCGAACGCGCGGTAACTCGATCGTAACGACGAACGAAAAGATCGAAAAACGTTTCGATAACGGCCGGTGTACAATTTCGATGGTCTTTCGGCCGGGAGTTTGCCGGATTATATCGAACGACCATGTAAATTGCTTTGACATTACGCCGGAAATTTAACCCCCTCCTCCCTCCCGCTGGCTCGCAAGTTTATCCAATATCGTGGGAGGAAGGGTGCGGGATTTGAAGTTGCCGGGAGCTCGGTTACCGCAGGGGTGAGCGGCGCGGCACACGGCGGTAACACTCGAAAATTGCCTTCGTTAGTTACGAGACCGCCACTCTTTCTCGGAGGACCCTTTAAAATAATAAGATCGGTGAAATTCGGCGCATGACCCGGCCGCGTCCCACTTGCATAACGAAAGGCGCAGATCATCGATCATCGCGCGACGCATCACAGCGCCTCGCCTCTTGATTTTTTCGCGAACGATATTCGAACAGCGTTAAACAGAACGAGGAAGGAATTATGGTACATCAAGGTTAAAACGCAAATGTAGCGACCCGCTTGGCTCGTTGGCGATGCGCCAAGTGACGAGGGACGCGAGACCGGGTTAATTTTTAATTTACTTGCCGAGAGACAGAGAGAGAGAGAGAGAGAGAGAAAAGAGAGGGGACGATCCTGACGGGGCTAAATAGAGGGACTTGCCGGGATTTTCCGTGATTATTTTTACGATGCGCACATTTGCCCGATTCTCGGTTCATTTCAATCCGTATGGACTTCATTTTTTTTCAACGAGAAAAAGAGAGCTCGTGTTATACGAATGAATATATCGTTTCGATTTAATCCCTCCCCACTCTGCGCTTCGATAGCATTTTATATCAGTTCGATTTACCTTTCAGGCCAATTCTATTCGACATTTTTTTTTCTTTTTTTTTTTTTTTACGAGATGAAAGCATCTCTTCAACGTCGCGTTCGAATGAAAATCGAGTCAATTTTAAAAAACGCAATAAAAAGAAGAGGGAACTCACCGTGAACTATGAGACTGATGACAGCTTCCGGCATGCTGCGACTGTTCACCAAGCAAGTGTACTCGCCGGTGTCCTGCGCGGTGACCGGATGAAACTGGAGCGAGTAGTTCTTCAACGACAACGAAACCCTGTTCTGATGGTTCCACACTATCGTGGTGTTGCTGCTGTACTCGAGCAACTGCATACTGTTAACCCGCCATTCGAGCATCAGTATGAGAGAGTTCTCCGTCACACCGGGACAATTCAGCGTCACGTTCTTCCCAGCCTCGACGACCATCTCCCCCACCATGGAATCTGGAAACAGAGACGTTGGTCCGTCGTTACATCCGTCACGTCGTGGCCGTTATCGCCCGAATAAAAAACCATCCGGTGGACAGGATCTGCACGGTCAGGACCATTTTGCCGGATGAAACGATTCGCCACGATTCTATATACGATCGCGGCCAACGCCGTTCCCAATGCAACTTGCCTTTTCGCAGCGGTCAACCGAATTTTTTTCACTCGGGCAGAAAAACTAACCCGAGTTCGAGTCGACACAGTTCGATCGTGTCGCGAGTTCGATCAACCGGATGTGGTTGACGAATTTGTAGAAACCTCGACAGAGGAGCGAGACGAAGCTATTCGAACACAACTGTACCCTCCGTTCGATCGAGTTTCAGCGTTTCGCGATCGACTTGGACGGTTCGACGACGGATCGATATTCGCGATTCACCTCGACTTTAAAACTCGGAATCAAAACTCCTCGATATTTTCTCTTCCGAACAATTTCATTCCACCCTCCTCCTCTTCTCTTCCGGTTAGGGCACCGCGTAACCGGCGACATTCGCGCAGATTAAATGCAACGAGACGGATCAAATGGCAACGACTGCAATTTCTCGAAGCGGGACCGGGCGTTAAACGCTCTTCCACGCTCGGTGTCTCTCGCGTCGCGGAGCAATTTCGAGTCAAACCCCCTGGCAAAGAGTCCAATTAGAGTTCAACCGTTCCTTGTTTTCGGATAATCCCCCAACCGACGTTGATTCGGAACGTTGAGTCGGCCGGCTCAAAGGGAGCCTCTCGGCTGTGATTTGAATTTACGAGGCGGCCTTGTTTGAACAGGGTCGGACGGTAACACTCGACTTTTCCACCATTTAATTCGTCTCGCCCACTTTTCGTCCATACCAGGAAGGAGGAAAATTCTGAACAATTTGATCGTCGAATTGCATCGATGGACGAGCTAACCACCGATAAGGGGAAACTATGCAACCATTAACCTCCTCGCAGAGTTACTTCTTGCCCGGATTCCCGATTCCGGATAACCATCCGGCTAAACACCGGTTACCTTAAAGCCTGTGTATATCTATACCCCAATTAAGAGTAGTAATTACGACTCCGTTGTTGGTCTATTATTTCTGTTCGCGGTTTCCTCGAACCTCCTTCCCTCCCCCTCCACCTATCTAACCCAAGGGTTCGAATTCCAACAAGAAGCCGGCAATTAACGGAATTCGAGCGGCGGTTTTCATATTTCTGAAGTTTCGCGGGCCATCGTTATTACAAGGGGAAGAGAAACGAATTAGCCGTTAAAATTCTTCCTCCGCGCGCCAAAACCGCGCGCCATCCTCCCCCTCTCACATTTTTCACGTCCCCCCTCCCTTCCCTTTTCCACGCCCGTTCACCCCGTTCGACAAAATTTCCTCGCGCCTTTTTTTCTCTTTTCAGTTTTCGCCCATATCCCGCCGCGATTTCGACCCGTGGGCGTGTAGCTCCATTAAATCAGCAAGTGGTTTTCCATTGAAAAAGTGGGACAGAGAGAAAGAGATCTTGGAAAAAACACCGCGACGTAATTCGCGCGAAAAACTTTTCATCTCCAATCTCTGATAAATCAACGAGTATCACGCGTGAATAAAGGGCAAGTTAGCCCCTGTCTACCGTTCCGTGTACTCTCTGTCGAATTTTCACCGTCTCACGGAGTGAAACTCTCCGTCCGTTCCCAATCGTACGTGCGCGCGATCCAGAGGATCGTTCGATCCTCTTTCCCACCGATTTTCGCCGGCGAAGATCAACGGGGGCTCCTCTCCGCCACCGTTTTCAACTTTGATCATCCGACATTCTGCATCGATTCCTGGCCGGAAGTTACTATGGAAATTACCCCGGGACCTTGCCGTAATTTCATCGGCTGCATTATAACTTCGGTACACCCCATCAAGCCGGCCCCCAGCCCCTGCTAATCATCAAACGACCGGTATACCCGCTTCCTTGCATTTCGTGCAACGATATCGAATTCCGTTGCGCCGAGATTCGATCGAGAAATTAACTTTTTAATATCGATTAAAAATCGTTCCATCGTTTCTTTCTGTCTTACATCTTCTTCTATATTGATTTGTGAGAAACTTTCACGAAGAGATCAGGAGATTGTTCACTCTCCTCCTCAGGGGAGGAAGGTAGAAGAAGGCGTAGGGCGTAGTTAATAATCGAACTTAAACGAACAGTTCGAATAGATCGAGGCTCTGAGGATGATTCATTTTTCCTTTTTTCAACGTTAGAATTAATAACAACTTTGAGAAGACGCTATCTAACAATTATCTACTATTTATAAACTAAACCAGACCAGAATAATCTATAAAGAAAAAACGAAACACGATAATAACCTAGACCGATAAACGATTAATCCTGTTACCTTATAATCAATCAAAATCCTACAATTTTCGATTTCTCGTTTCAACATCATCTTTACTCGAAGTCGAACACCCGAGATCCTCGTTCGAGAACCGGTTTCTCGGCCGTACTTCGCGCGAATATCCATATTCTCCGACTTCGGGTTAAACGCGTTCCTTCTCCTCCTCCTCCTCCTCCTCCTCCTCCTGCCGCCGTTTACAGCCGGGTTTCCGTCTTCCGGCATTTCGTCGATTTTCCTTGGAGAGGCGCGGGGGGAGATACCGGACGAGATCGCTGGGCCAAGGGGTAAGGACGTACGAGAGGGATGTACGCAGAGAAGAGCGCGAGAAATAGGTGGTGACTCGGATCCTCTCGAGCGGCTCGTAAAAACTTGGAGGAATTGCAGCTGCGGAGAGGGGAATCCCGTGGATTGCGAGCGATACAGTGGCAAAAAAGGTGCTCACGAAAGATGAAAACACGAGATGGATGTTTTTCGCCTGATACGAGGATTCGGGAGGATAGGTCGGTTGAAGGAAAGTCGTTGCGACGCTGAGGGGAGAGAAGAAATTGTATCCAATCTGTTAAATGCATCGCGCGCAGATATTAATCGCGAAAGAAAGATAACTGAATAATTGTGATTTTTGATTGTTCAGCGAGCTGGAATTATTATCGAGAAGGAGAGGTTCGTCGCGTTCTTATTACATGTATCGATCATTATTTTGGGAGGGAGAGGGTCGATAGCGCTCGCGATTTTACAATTCAATGCAATTTTCCCCGGGCAAAGTCGGGGAACGAGAGCGGAATCGCGGTGGAATCTCTTCCCGAATGGGAGTCGACGCGCGCCTCCTTGTTTACTCGAAGCTAAATTACTCGACGCGTAAAGGGATTTCCTTGGCGCGCGGATACAACATAGAGACGAAACGTTTTTTTGAAATTCGAACGGCCGTGTCATAACAAGTTCCCCTTAACTCGAACCTGTTCAAACGGGCGAAGAAGAAGCGCGTTGGAGCGGGAAGGGGCACAAAGAAATATATATATTAAACGATCCTCCATTATCGCGAGCGATAACGCTTTATTGTCCCCGCGAGATACAGTTTACATTCCGTGGAAACGGGAAGGAGGGATTGTAAAGTATCGAAACAAAGGCGAACATATAGCGCGAGGAAAATAAACAAAGTTTCTCCTTCGAACGTGCGTCGTACGCTTGTTTCGATTTTGCGCCGTTCTATTTCGTCGACAGTCACCGTAGAGGAAACAAGCCTCGATTCGTGCGCGTGATCTTTCGTTCATTCGTTCATCGCTGGCCAAAGAAAGCATCGTATCGCTTTCTCGAAAAGCAATGGGAGAGATGCGCCTCGAAACGCTCGCGATGCAGGCGATTATTGGAGGATATTTTCGTGCGAAAAGAGAAAATAAATCGAGTCGAGTCGAGTCGAGGGACGAGAAGTTTGAAATTAACCGATTAGATTAGAGCTCGTGGTGCTGCTTCGCGATATTCCACGCTGTTTTATCATCGGGATAATTAAAGTGCGGCGTAACTTGACCACGTGTGTACGTAGTTGGCAGAGTCTTGAGGGGAGTAGCGCGTAGTGGAGAAATGTGCACGCAAAGGAAATGTCATCCCCTTAACACAGGGTCGTTGGTTTAATTGAATAGTTGAGACCGGCGTTTTTAGGCCACGAGTCCGCGCGTTGGATTGAAGCCTCTCCGAAGGTAGGTACGAGTGGAATCGTATTACAATTCGAATCCAAGTCTCTCGAGTATAAGTTGATGTAATTAAAAACTGTTATTACAGAGAAACCGTTGCGTCCCCTCAGCGTGCGACTTCTCGCGCTATCCTTCGATATAATATTCTTGATAAAGAGAGGAAGCGGGTTGGGGAAGGGAAGGAAGAGAAAAAGAGAAAGGAAAAAAAAGGAGGGGAAAAAAAAGAAAAGAGGAGGCGTCCCATTTTCCACGTTCTCCGGCTAACGAGCGAGGCGAAGGGCGTCCCGGAAACGATTTCTTGGTCGTTTTTCGTTCACGGACCATGGAATTCTATCCCCAGACAGGATATAGATCACGGTACTTAACCGACTTGCCTGCAAATGCAAATAAATAGAAAAGTACGGACGCCGGCGTGGCGAGGTGGTATTGGGAGGGGGGGACTCGGCGGGAGATCGAGCTAGGAGCGAGGAAAACAAGGAGAGAAAAGGGGGAGGGGAAGAGAGGAAAGAGCAGAAATAGAGATAGAACTGTGCGAAAAGGGGGGGAAGAAAGGGGGGAGAGACGGACAGCAGCTTCGTGTTTTCTTTCGCGTTGTAGTTACGATTAATCCGATTTCCCACGTAATTACGTCGACGAACGCCGGCTAACGGAACGTGTCTCGAACTTTCTCGTCCACTCTCGATCGACTTCGGCTGTAAATACCACGCCACGTATACCACGTTAAGACGCTCTTCTCTTTTTCTGTCCTTCTTCTTCCTCTTTTTTTTTTTTAACCTCTCGTCCATCTCGCGCAAACGACAAAATTTCCCGCGAATTAACTAGCCGTTACTAGACTTACGCGACCCATCCTCTCCCGAAAACGGGACTAGTCTCGGCCAAGACGAGTCCATCCTCATCTAGAAATTGAATTTTCCCCCTCTTTCCCTCCCTCCACCGTAGCCAGTACCGGGTTG